GTTAGGAGGGGCGCCTGGGTGGCTCAGTTTGTTAAGCAACTGCCTTCGGCTCAGGTCATGATCCTGGAGTCCCTGGGTGAGTCCCGCATCAGCTCCCTGCTCGGCAGAAAGTCTGCTTCTCCCTCTGACCCTCCCCACTCTCGTGCACGCTCTCTCTCTCTCTTTCTCTCTCTTAAATAAATAAAATCTTAAAAAAAAATGAGTTAGGAAACTATTAATATAGTCAAGCTGAAAGATATACAGATATGGCTAACTAAATCACATGTCAAAGTAATAAGCTAACAACAAAGAACTCAGGAAATATTTGACGTTTGCTATTTAGACAAATCTGCAAGGATTTCCAAGTCGTAGTTTTCTGATAAATTATCAAAGTTTGAAATCCTGCCAAATATGGGACAGTGGAGCAGTAAGAGAGAACTGGTGTGATCTAATATAACAAATCCTTATTCTATTTTGGAGACCTTATTTCTTTTTTTTTTTTTTAAAGATTTTATTTATTTATTTGACAGAGAAAGACACAGCGAGAGAGGGAACACAAACGGGGAGTGGGAGAGGGAGAAGCAGACTCCCTGCCAAGCAGGGAGCCCGATGCGGGACTCGATCCCGGGAGTCCAGGATCATGACCTGAGCCGAAGGCAGTTGCTTAACCAACTGAGCCACCCAGGCGCCCTGGAGACCTTATTTCTATATTCCTTAGAATATGAAGCCAAGAACTAGTATCAAAAAGGGTTAAAACAAGGGGTGGGGGAAGAAAGGGAAAATAAGGAGCTGAATAGAGTAAAATCATTAAGGGGCAGATTTGGAATTTTTTTAAGTTTTTATTTTAATTCCAGTTAGTTCACATACAGTGTTATATTAGTTTCAGGTGTACAATACAGTGATTCAACAACTGTAGAATTTTTTTATTGGTCACAACTTGGTGATGTACGTAGTAAAAATTATTTGGGCATATCAATGTTTATACAAATTTGTTACTTTATCAATTGACAAATTGGTACACATTTTACAAGAATCTAGTAGTCTCCTCCAGACACCGCTGGGAGAACAGACTGCTAGATGAAAAGAACAAGGATCAATGAAATTACATTGTGATCTCCATGAAGACAGAATCCCTGTTTTATTCTCTATTATCCCCAGCAGGTAACATAGAACCTCATGTATGACAGACAAATGTTAAGGGTTAAGGGGTTAGGAATCATTTTAAAGCAGTTTGTTATACTGAATTTTAAGGCAGTATCAAAAAACAAACAAACCATAGCTATTTTCAGTATTTAATACCAGGCAAATATGTACCCATAAGATCTAAACACAGCTGTCAAAAATTCATAATTTATCAGGATGCCTGGGTGGCTTGGTTGGTGACTCCTGGTTTCCACTCAGGTCATGATTTCATGGGCCATGGGACAGGGCCCTGAGTTGGGCTCTGTGCTCAGCAGGGAGTCTGCTTGAAGATTCTCTCCTTCTACTCCTCCCCTTTCTCTCTCTCAAATAAGTAAGTCTTTTTTAAAAAATTCAAAATCGGGCGCCTGGGTGGCTCAGTCGGTTAAGCGACTGCCTTCGGCTCAGGTCATGATCCTGGAGTCCCGGGATCGAGTCCCGCATCGGGCTCCCTGCTTGGCGGGGAGTCTGCTTCTCCCTCTGACCCTCCCCCCTCTCGTGTGCCCTCTCTCTCTCTCTCTCAAATAAATGAATAAATAAAATCTTTAAAAAAAAAAAAATTCAAAATCTATCTTTTCAGTTTCTCATAAAAAACAAACAACCCAAGCCTAATGCTACTTTCCATTGCCATTATACAACTCATCCTTAAATAATTAGCTTTGTTAACAATTAAAGTCAAAGGGGAAAAAAAACCCTATAATTTTAGTAAAAGGAGTAAAAAAGATATAAGCAGATGGGTTCCATGCAGGCCAGGCTCTAAGGGAGTAGAGCTGGCTAGCTCTGTGGCTTTTGTCCTATAAGCCAATTTTGAAAGGAAAAGATCACTGGAAAAGAAAACATTGAAAAAATACCATGGCATGAGTTACCATGACGCCAGAAAGTCAGTTCTTTCTGCAAACCTATGATGTACACAGACACATATGGTACATGAATCTAAAATACATTATGTACAGGGCGCCTGGGTGGCTCAGTTGGTTAAGCGACTGCCTTCGGCTCAGGTCATGATCCTGGAGTCCCGGGATCGAGTCCCGCATCGGGCTCCCTGCTCGGCAGGGAGTCTGCTTCTCCCTCTGACCCTCCCCCCTCTCTCATGTGCTCTCTCTCATTCTCTCTCTCTCAAATAAATAAAATCTTTAAAAAATAATAAAAATAAAATAAAATAAAATACATTATGTACAGGTATTTTGAGGTAGTATATTATTATTTAACAATCCTTAATATGACAAGCAGGAAAATTCCCAAGTAATGAAAGACAATTTCCTCAACATCTGTACCTCATCTCTCCTATTCAACCTCTCTTGAAACAACTGCACATGCCAGTACAGTTAACATTAAACATTCCTATCACAGTCTACTTCCAGATTTTAAAATAATATTAGACTGTAATTTCTCAAGGCTCTTTTCCCATATGCTTGTGACTTAATCCCACTTGCAGAGAATACTCTAAAACTAACCTGTCATACGCTCTCTACAAATCCACATCACTAAAATACACCCCCAGTTGTCAGTAAGCAACATACAAAATTCCTTCCTTTACTTTATGTTTAGTTTTCTCTCACTCTTCAAATGTTGTTCCTGGGTACAGAAGTTTTTCCTCCACCCTCTTTCACTCAATTTAGGACTCTATGCCTGCTTCCCAGAGAAAGAGGACAAAAGCTACTTCTCAAACTGTGGAACAACCGGCTCTGTTCTCTCCCCCGCCCCAACCTGTTCCAGTGTTCATGTTCTTTCAGCTCATAGGGAAGGGAGAAGTTGAGAGATCCCTCTAGTGACTTACCCCAGTAGCAAATCCCAGGTAAGTACAAACTCTCCCAAAGCAGAACTGGGAGAGATTTTTTTTTAAAGCCATGTTTCATCCTGTGCCCCAAAACACTAATGCCTGAAGCTTGGTTGGCATTCATTGGTCTGAGGTAATAAAAAAAAAAAGTTCTCTTTAGTGTGTTTCTTCATATGATTAAGAAGGGGTAGAGGATTTATAAAACATTGCTAGTAATTTCCCTCTAGAGAGGAAAAGGGGACTGAATGAGAAGGGAAAGAAAAAAAGGGAAATTTGTTGTTGTCACTCTCCCTCCACACTCAGATGCTAATGTATTCAATAGGGAATCTAAGAAAATGAAAAAAAAATTTTGAAGATACCTACCAGAAACTAAGGTAGAGGAATGTTAGCTGGGAGCCCCAGTCTAAAGGGTAGATATATACAATTCCTTACCCCCTGCAGGGGGAAAGGCAGGAACCAAAAAAAGGATCTTCACTGAGTGGAGGATTCTATGTGACTGAATTTGCTGTTCCCCTTCTTGACCTCTCTGTTCTCAGAATCACAGAGTACCCCCTCCCTGACAAGCGGACTCCAGCGGGGGGGGGGGGGGGGGGGGGGGGGGGGGTTAAGAGAAAAAAAGGAGACAGAGAAAGATAAAAGCATCAACAGCCATCTTGCCAAACAACTGAATCTATTACAGGAAAGAAGGAAATTAATTGCACTAACCAAGATAGAAAGTAAGAAACAAAAGATTACCTCTAAACAAAATAGGCCTCCTCCCCTTCGACACACTAACGAAATATCACACAGTAAACATTAGAAAAGAAATTTAACTATGACTGTTAATTTCTAAAATTAGAGGTTGTCATTCTAAAAGTTAGAAAATACTCAGTCCGGATCCGTCACTGGAATTTCAGAGTGTTTCATTCCAAATGAGTATCTTAAAGTATTCTGACAATGAATTTTTTAAGAAACAGAAAAAAAGACCTTTAAACTGCCCAATGCTGTGAAAGAAATGATATCTACATGGCATTTAAATTCTAATGGTTACAGTTAATAATTATGAACTTCATCAAATATAATAAACATCAAGCCCACAGAAAAGGAGTATCTTCCATATTAGGCTGCCCATGTACTTTCCATACAGATTTAGAATTTAATCCAACTCCCCAAAGACGTGAGAACGATTTATGTAATTAATGGGAAAATAACAGCACGCTGAAAGAATTTACATCGAAGTTACATTCAACACGGTTAGCGCAATAACCTCACTCACTGAATACAACTAACACCCCAACTCTATTCATACCCACAAATGGGATAAAATACTGGGATTACAAATCTGCAATCACAGATAAGGATACATGAGTAAGGCAAATCTGAAGTTACTATCTCCTAACTATTTGGGGGTTTTTAAAGGGAAGGGGTGGGGAGGCAGGATTTGCATCATGGTCAAATGCTGACAAAAAAAAAAAATTTAAGCAATTATTTGTCACCCCATTCTTATCCAGAGGGCTGTCAAAAGAGAAAGAGGAATGACTGTCAGACTATCTAAAATCTTACGCGTCAGGAGGAAAACAGGGAATTTAAGCCATACTCAAGTGCAGGACGAACACATCCTCCTCCCTCGGTCACACCACAGGAATGTCGTCTGAGGGAAGCAGGGGCAGGAGAGATTACCACACTCTCGAGGACAGGTTGGCACAACGCGTGTTTTACTCCAACAAGCATTCCCAGGGTTACCACACCCCCTCACAAACAGGGGGAAGCACACTTCACGCCCGAGGTCGCTGCCTCTCCAACAGTTCTCCCGTCGCACGCACACGGCTTCATCAGCCCCCTCCCAGCACAACGACCCGCCCGGGCTCCCCACCGCCTCTCGCCGAGGAGTGGACCCCCCCACCCCCACCCCGGCCTTCACAATCTCCGGTGCGCCCGGCCCCGCTCCCTGCCCCGGCCGAGCCCCGGCTCGTCGCCGAGTCCCTCCGGCCGCAGTCGCCCACTGGGGGGGAGGGGCGCGGGGGCGGGCGCGCCTCCGCCTCACGCCCCTACACCGGGCTCGGAGAGAAGCGATCGCACCGCTCACCTGGCCCGGGCGGCTCCTCCCTCGCTTTCGGCCAGCGGAACCGGACTGGGGCCTCCGAGGGAACCGCGGGCTGCCGGGCGGGCTGGAAGTCCGAGAAGGAGGGGGAAGGGGGGAGGGATGCCGGGAGCCGCCTCCTTTCTCCTCCACCACCGCGGCTCCCGCAGCCAGGCCGGGCGCCCTCGCACACTCGCCCACTTTCTCACAGCCTCGCGGTCTGTCTGGCTCTCCCTCACCCCCACTCCCACACACACTCGCCCCCACCCCCACACACACTCACACCCGGCCGCTCCTCGCTCCCTCGCTCCCTCACTGCCTCACTCGTCTGTAGTGCGCGCGCGCGCGACCCCGCTCACACACAGCGCGCGCGACGCCGGCGGAGACCGCCCCGCGCTCCCCCAGACCGAGGCGCCGCGCGCCGCCCGCCCGCGTGCAGAGGACCCTCGCGCGCGCCGGCCCCGCCCTCCAGGCGCGGCGACGCGGCGGGCAGCGGGGGTGGCTGCCGGGGCGAGGGGACGGGCCGGCCCGCGGAGCTCGGCCTAGCGGATCCAACACCTGCGTCGGGACCCGCCCTCCGGACTCCGCGTCCCCACTCGCAGCCATCGCCCGCCTCTCGGGTGGTGAAGGGGCGATGGAGAGCGCGCGCTAGGAGGGAAATGGGAGCGCGAGAGCGCTTCGAGGACGCGCTTTCCCCACCCGCCCCCAAACCGTCCTCCCTAAGGACGGGAAACGGGTGGGGGGGCGAGGTTTGTTCCCAGCTTGAAACCGCGAGATTGATTCCTTCCGTTGTACACCCTCCCCGCCTTCACATTCCCTCATCGGGCCCCATTCATACACAATGTGAACCCTGACGCCAGCCCACCAAGCCTCTGGGGGACAGCGTGCTGTCTGCCTGTCCACGCCTCTGTGTCTCCTGCCCTGCCCAGCCCAGCCCACCTCCCGCGCAGCCTTTCCGGCGACCTCGCCTACAGTCCCCTCAAGCCGTGGTCCGCCTCCCAGCCCCAGAGGCAAAGATTGGGGACAAAGATCAATACCTATAAGGTCCTTATCCCTGTACGGAATAAAGACGTTGCCTCTGTACACTGTGAGGCAAATTTTTAAACTACAGTACATCATATATTCTCAGGGCTTTAAGCAGGTTTTTGAAGATAAAGACAGGGTAGTGTGGTGCAGCCAGCCTCGCTACTTGGAAACCAGTATAAACCTCCCGCAAATCAGTTCCTTAACTTCCTCCGAGCTTTTGTTATGAAAAGCTAAGAGTATGTTCCAAGGTTGCTGTGAGAATGAAATATATTTAGGAGCATTTTGAAAATCCTCAGGCTGTCTATAAAAATAAAATTATAGTCCAAAGGAAGCTAAGAATATGAGTATGTTCAGCTACGATACTCCTGTTAATTTTTCTAGATCATGAAGAATGAAAACAAAGGCAACAGATGACCGTGCTACTTTACATGACAAATTCATTTCTAAATAACCTTAGTCATTTATTACCACCAGAGATCCCAGATATGAGCTACCATAATGTCCTAACCAGTTTGCCTTCTTGCAAGTCACATTCCATTCTGAATGGCCTCAGCCAACAAATTCTTTTCAGCACTCAGTTCCCAATCTTTTTGGTCTGCCCCCCCCCCCTTTTTTTTTTCTTCCTGATTTCACTCAGTACTTAGTCCTTTAAGAGATATAGCATAACCCAGGGTGGTAACTTCTGGACTGGATCAGACTTAACTTATGTGATCTTCTAAAGTACCCTGACTTCTCTGTATCTTAATCTACTTGATTACACAAGCTGTCTATAAAAATATTTTATAGAAACTATAAAAGTAGTTACTTCACTGAACTGGTATAAACAGTAAATGAGCTAATAAGTGTATAAGACTTAAGGCCTGGCGCAAACTGAGTGCTACTGTGTTTACTGCTGTTACGTTTGCCCACTTAGAGTAACCTAGGATAGTGAACAGTTTTCACAAAGAACACATTTAGAGGAACAAATGTGCTATATGACACACTACCTTCAGAAGAAAGGGGGGAAAGTTTACAGAGCTAAAATGTTGCTATTTATTTCCACCCGGATATTCAGTCTCCTGAAACAAAGTATATTCAACCTAAAGACAAAAGAGAAGCATTTCATCACAGAGATATTAACACAGTGAGAATCTGGCAAAAGATAAAGGGAGAAATTGACACAGGGAAAAGCATGACTGGGCAAGCAGATTATCAATAATACCTAGCCTATCCTTCAGTCCTACTGTTAAGAAACCCAATTCAGGGTAACGATGCATCACCCAGAAAAAGAAGGGTGAAACTGTGGATAGGGAGTATTAGACTATTAATTCACTGGCCACCTGCCTTTAAAAAAATGCTATCTATTCACGTACTGTCATTATGCACCAGACACACCCAAAAATTCATAATGTATACAAAATTGCTTTCCACTTAAAGTAGTCAGAAAGATACAAAAAACAGAGCTATGTTGCTGTGGGTTTTTTTATGTTATATCTATTTTAGAGAGTGTATGTACAGGCATGTGGGTGGGGGGAGGGGCAGAGGGAACGGGAGAGAGAGAATCCTCAAGCCGACTCCCAGCTGAGATCATGACCCCAGCCAAAATTAAGAGTCTGACACCTAATCTACTGAGCCACCCAGGTGCCCCTTAAAGAACTATGTTCTTAAAAAAAAAACAAGTAGGAGCGCCTGGGTGGCTCAGTCAGTTGAGCATCTGACTTTCATTTGGCTCAGGTCATGATCTTGAGGTCAAGGATCTGACTTCATCAGGTTCCTGCTCACCATGGAGTCGGCTTGAGATTCTCTCCCCCTCTCCCTCTGCCCCTCCCCCACTTATGTGTACGTGCTCTCTCTTTCTAAAATAAGATAACATCTTAAAAAAAAAAAAACAAAGCCAAGGATATGGCTCATTTTAAACCAACTATTATATACTATTTACATCAATGATGATCAAATTCCTACTTTATATTTTTGTATGAAGTAATGAGGGAGAAGCAATTATTTTTGGCATTTCCATAATGGAAAGCAAGGTCCAGAAGGCTTGGTTTCCTAGACTCGCTCATAATCTTCGTACTTTCGTGGCTGATATGTTTAGACAGGTATGGACTCACAACTCCTTTGGGTAGCAATGTATGCTCCAAAGTATTCTGGGGCACCTGGCTAGCTCAGTGGGTAGAGCATGAAACTCTTGATCTTGGGGTTCTGAGTTCGAGCCCCATATTGGGGGTAGAGTTTCCTTTTAAAACAAAAGAAGTATTTTAAATAGCTTGTCTTGGTTGAATTGTGCACCACTCATTTTTAACCATTAAATTAATATTCTTCAGCCAGCTGAATCGCTTGAGAAGACATAACTAGCCTAGCACCTTTGGAGTCAGATAAATTTGACTTGAAATCCCAGCTTTATTAGTGGCATGTGATTGTTGCTTAAGTTCTATAAGCCTCAGTTATCAACAAAATAAAGATGAGGTAACTCAAACATAATGTACTACATAGTAAGTGCCCAAAAAATATTAGCTATTGGAGCAGCTCGCTGGCTCAGTAGCTACAACGTATGACTTGACTTGGGGTTGTGAGTTTGAGCCCCACACTGGGTGCAGAGATTTAAAAATAAAATCTTAGGGGCACCTGGGTGGCTCAGTTGGTTAAGCCTCTGCATTCTGCTCAGGTCATGATCTCAAGGTCCTGGGATCAAGCCCCACGTAGTCCAGCCCCACGTCGTCGTCCAGCCCCACGTCAGGCTCCTTACTCAGTTGGGAGTCTGCTTCTTCCTCTCCCTCTGCCCCTCCCCCCATTGGTGCTCTCTCTCAAATAGATAGTCTTTTTTTTTAAGATTTTATTTATTTGAAAGACAGAGAGAGAGATACTGAGAGAGCAAGCGTGGGGAGGAGAGGGAGAAACAGGCTATATATATATATATATATTGGGGGCACCTGGGTGAGCAGTCGGTTGAGTCCTGAGTTCAAGCCTTGTGTTGGGCTCCATGCTGGGCCTGGAGCCTACTTAAAAAAACTGATTAGGGGCACCTAGGTGGCTCAGTCGGTTAAACGCCTACCTTTGGCTCATGTCCTGATCCCAGAGTCCTCATGCTACCTCTTGCTCTCTCTCTCTCGAATAAATAAAATCTTTAAAAAAAAAATGAATATAGGGTGTTATACAAAAACAATGGATTGTGGATCACCACATCAAAAACTAATGATGTATTCTATGGTGACTAACATAATAAAATTTTTTAAAAATGAATATATATCTAGATAGATATGTAAATATATAGATATAAATATAGGCTATTATACAAGACCAATAACAAAAGTCAAATAGCAAAGAGAAGTTATACAATGTTTAAATATGTGTAATAGTACAAATAGTTACATATTTACTGCACGCCGGAAGCATGAGTAATGTAAGACTGAATTGAAAGGCATCTTTTACCTGAGCCAAAACATTTCTATATTTGTGCTCTCCTTCCTAGACACATCAGAATCAATGGAGAGCTTTTGAAATTGATTTAATCAGAATTTCTGGGATTTTGATCCAGGCACCAATATTTTTTAATGCTCTCCAGGGAATTTTAATATGCAGCCAAGCTGAACCAAGGTTTGGACAACACACATGTCAAATTAGCTATATATATGACTATATTGAAATGTGCACATTATCTAGATACATTTCATTTAATCAACCAGATTAGCTGATTCAGAATATGATGGCTAGATTTGCAGCAAAAAGCACTTTTATTTATTTATTTATTTTTAAAGATTTTATCAGGGGCACCTGGGTGGCTCAGTCGGTTAAGTGGCTGCCTTCGGCTCAGGTATGATTTCAGGGTCCTAGGATCAAGTCCCGCATCAGGCTCCCTGCTCATCAGGGGATCTGGTTCTCCCTCTCCCTCTGCCCCTCATGCCCTTCTCCCTGACTCTCTCTCTCTCTCTCTCTCTCTCGTGCGTGCATGCACGCTCTGTCTCCAATAAATAAAACCTTTAAAAATAAATAGATAAAATAAAGACTATTTATTTGAGAGAGAGAGCGCAAGTAGGGGGAGGAGCAGGAGGAGAGGCAGACTCCCCGCTGAGCTGGAAGCCCTCCTCAGGGCTTGATCCCAGGACCCTGAGATCATGACCTCAACAGAAGGTAGATGCTTAACTGACTAAGCCACCCAGGTGCCCCAAGAAACACTTTTAAAAGTTTTTGGTAGACAGTTCTTGGTAGACAGTTCTTGAGATGCTAGATGGAAGGCACAGAAAATGCAGTGAGTTGATGGAAAATAAAATCTCCCCTAACAAAGTTGTCTGGGTCCAACCCACTCCATGTCTCTTATCTGACTTGTGTCGCATTGGTGAATCTGTACATCAGGCAGAAAAACATAATTCATATATTGTTATCTAGTATGCACATCAAACAAAAATCTTTAAGTACCCCATAGACACCATCTGGTGCAAATTTTTTCCTCCTGGGTTTAGACAAGAAAACAAGCTGGGATTTGATCAAAATTAAAGTCCTCAAGGTAGTAAAGAGGAGAATTGTAAACAGGAATGAATCCAGGATTGTTATCAGGACATAAAATAGTCTTCTTGATGGCATATCTAATGTGATTACTGTAAAATTCTTGTTGGTGGAGAAAAGGTAGTAGGTATCGCATCAGAACCTACACTCAAAAATAAGGAATGGTGGCAGC